CACGCTGGCCCTGTCGAACCCCTCCGCCGTCGTCACGCTCCAGTCCACGCTCACCTCGCTCGGCGCGTAGCACTCCGTCGCCGCCACGCTCGGCGTCGCCGGCGCCTCCTCGTCCACGATCCTCCTATCGCCGCCGCCTAACCTCCGCGCCCCGAATATCTGCGCCTCGTCCAGCGAGTCCCTTCGCCTGTACATCGGGTACGACGTCGTTTGTGTCGAGAAACTCTCCAGCTCGAACAGATCCGAGCTGGCGTCGCTCCCCATGTCGTCATCCGTGCTCGCCACCACCATCCGTCCGATCGGACTCCCCGGCTTGAACAGATGCCGACCGCCGCCGATTCCCGCCGGCTGGAACACCTCCAGCGAGTCCCTCGGTGGATCCTCCTCCACCGGGCGGATCCCCCTCACTGTCTGGGTCGGGTTCTTCAATACCGGGAACGAGAACCCTCCCGACCCGTCCACGAACGCCCGACCCGACGCCGATATCCTCTGCTGCCTCGGCAGCGGCGGATCCGGCGCCGCCACGTGTCGGACGACGTCACCGCCTTTGACCCGAGGCCCGTTTTTAGTCTCGACCGGGCCCACAGTAGCCTCCTTGACCCGAACCGATTTCTTTCCTGTGCAGCAGCACTTGCGCCCGAAGATCCACTTCTTGCCGGAGCTCTTCCTCTGAAGACCGTGATCTCCAGAGGTGGCCAAGTTTTTCACGGTGACCGCCGCGGATCCCGGCGGGTTGGCCAACAAGCCCGTCTGGCTGTTCCAGCTGGCCTCCGACGAGGCAGTCGGGGTCGCGTTGAAAGACCTCGTTCGAAAATTCCGGCCGTACCCTTCGGAGGAAACCGACGACAACCTCGGATCTTGAATATTGTTGTTATTATTATTATTTTTTATGTCGTTAGTTTCGCAGAAATATTTATGGGCGTCGAAGATGCTTATCTCGGGCTCCTCATCGTCGTTGTCCTTGGGTTTGACGTAAGATGAGAAGGATAAGTCATCATAGTTTGGATTTTTGGACAGGGAAAAGGATTGGAAATTGAGAGGGGATTTGTCCGAGGCGGTGGCCTTGAAGACGGGATTATGTTGTGAGGAGTTGTACCTTAGAGGTTTGGGTACTACTGCTACTGCTGGTGGTGGTGGTGGTGGTGGTGGTGGATCCATGTACACAGCACAGTTTTGAGTGGAAATTTGGGAGGTGATTAATTGTGTGTGTAAAGAGAAACTAAAGAGGGATTTTATGAAGAATTTTTTGATGTCTGGGCTTTTAAGCAGTAAAGAGTTTTGACAGGCTTTCAATTATATGAGTTGTTCTTGTCAATCTTTTTATTTATTTATTTATTTTCCTCACAGGAGATAATATATATCAATAGAACACAGTTATGGCCGGTAAATAGTGAATACTTCCAAGTTTTTCAATAGGGACTAATATTTTTTTCAAATGTGGATGAAAAAATATTTAGCATATTGGGTGTTTCTAAAAATGGGTATCATCTAGACGCCTCGATTTTTGGCACCAAGGCTTTTTTTAGCAGTTTGGACAATTAAATGTTGACTAGTCTCGAGCTCAAGCTCGATTATTAACTTGTTTAAATTAACGCGACTCGTTTACATCTAATTCAGACAACTGGGTTAGTTGGGCCTAAACTATTAATTAGGTGGTCTTCGAAACCGTTTGCTTATTTTTTTTATTTTATTTTTCAAAATATAGCAAATTTGTAGTTTAATCTTTTTATATATACAATAATTATTTTTAAAAAAAGTTGTTAAGACTAATATAGTAGTTATGAATATATTATATTTTNGGTCCTCAGGAAAGGAGAAAAAAAAATAAAAAAAAAAGTCCTTGAACTACAAGATACAAAAAGATACTGCCTCTAATACATGAATGTCAATTGAGTGGTCAATAGGCAGCCATGTCAACTTTTTCTTGGTTTATTCACAAATAGCCATGTGTGGCTTTGACTCAATTATCTCAAATTGTAACTGCTACTTAATTAATTAATTAATTATTCTTTTAGTACCCTTTTTGAGAAAACTATGATCTGAGAATTTTAATAATATAATAAAGTAACAATTGGAGTTTTTTGAGTTGGTATATAGTTTAGTGTTCCTAATGAAGCTAACTTCCAAGAAAACCAAAGATTTATTTAATAATCTTTGTCCATCTCTTTCAATTATGGTCTTAGATTGTTGATACTGTTCTTAAAAGCTCATATCCATCTAAGATTTTTTTTGTATATTTTTATTGCATGATTTGCTCCAAGTTGATTGATGCACTTTTGTTATGGTAGGAATGTGATACATGATTAAACATACAAAAATGGTAGTGATTGAAAAATTATGTCAAGGTTGATTACTAGGGCAACCAAATTCAAATACTTGTAAAGTATACTAACTCATTACATTCCTTTTATTTTAAATAATCTCAATAAATTCATGTATATATGTCTTTTATATATACTATTTTACATAGTTGTATCCTAACTTAGGCCAAAATGTCAATTACTCAAATAATAAAAATGTATTTTATTTATTTTCATTTGAAATGAATTGGTATCATTTTAATATTGCAAAATGAAATTATAATACATCAATAAATAAAAATCACAAAATTATTTAGCATAAAAAATACATTGCACAAATTATTTAACAAACAAATACATTTACTAATACACATTATATAAAAATTTACCAATAATAATACATAAAAAACAAAAAACAAAAAACAAAAAAAAATTGTAGCATGGAGCTACAGTGTTGCAGTGTTGCGCCACATATGACGCAACACTATTCACAACTCCTTTCTGGCTACAGTGTTGGGCCATTGGAGATTTTCACACAACTCCAACGTAAGAAGCCAAATCTGGCGCTGCGTTGGAGACACTCTTAATTGACTCTTAATCGAACACTTATGAAAATTACATAAAACATGACCTTACATTTTTCCTATACCCATCATTGTGCAAGATTTGCCGGAAAAGTTAGAGTGAAAAGCAATGTGAAAACTAATGTTATTATTATTATTATTATTACTACTTAGATATCTTGAGAAAGATAAGGTATATATCATTTATTCCTCATCCTTTTGAGTTACAAATTGCATTTTTTTTCCCCTCAAAATCAGACCCCACCTAAATATATATATAATATTAATAATTAAATCCAATTTTACAATCTTTTTCCTCCCTATAAACAGATCACCAAACCCCATTTCACATATAGGATAATTGCAAGCCCTTTCTGTCTGTTTCTTGGACAGCAAAACAAAGGTTAGGGGAATTAAAACTTATATGATTCCAAAAATGATTGCAAAATTTTATCTTAAATAAAAAAAATAAAAATGAAATGAAGCCCCTTGAGAGGCCAAAAGCTAAAAGTTGAAAAATCATACAAAATCACCATTCTTTTTTCTTTTCCCCTTTGGTTTTGTCTCTTAGGCTTAGTAATCCCCTCATATCATGTGGGATTTTGCCCTATTTTGTGCAACCATGCATGTTTCAAATCCAAGATTGATTTAAACTGACTGAAAAAAATAATGCATCTGAATGTGAACTAGTTTTGTAGCTAGGTTTGGGGTCCCAACGAGGTATGAAGGTTATTACATTTTTAAACAAATTAGTTGTGTG